GCCCTGACATTCTAAAGCAATTAAATTCCTCCAGAAATTCCTTCTCTTAGCGATAAAGAAATTTCAGATTAAAATTTACACCTTGCTCATTGACAATGTTCCTTAGAGAGGCCCTTAATGTACATCAAATACAAGAAATACTTTAAGTATATAGTTTGTATTATTGCTGTGGAAAAAAAAAAAGATCTTGTGATCTTTTCCTCACGTCCCAACGAGAAGCTTCTTTTTGTAATAGCTACTTTTTTCTTAATGTAGGTGAGGCCCTACAGTGCTACACCAGGGACACGGTCCAGTGTGCTGGCTCATGCTACGTCAAGAAGTTAAAAGCAAGTAAGTTGTGTAACTGGGGAAGGGGGGGCAGAGCCTTGTCGAGCTCCACTGGTGACATTATATATATATAAATATTATATATATATATATATATAATATATATATATATATATATATATATATATATATATATATATATATATATATATATATATATATATATATATATATATATATGTCGTACCTAGTAGCCAGAACTCACTTCTCAGCCTACTATGCAAGGCCCGATTTGCCTAATAAGCCAAGTTTTCATGAATTAATTGTTTTTCGACTACCTAACCTACCTAACCTAACCTAACCTAACTTTCTCTACTACCTAACCTAACCTAACCTATAAAGATAGGTTAGGTTAGGTTAGGTAGGGTTGGTTAGGTTCGGTCATATATCTACGTTAATTTTAACTCCAATAAAAAAAATTGACCTCATACATAATGAAATGGGTAGCTTTATCATTTCATAAGAAAAAAATTATAGAAAATATATTAATTCAGGAAAACTTAGCTTATTAGGCAAATTTGGCATTGCATAGTAGGCTGAGAAGTGCGTTCTGGCTACTAGGTACGACATATATATATATATATATATATATATATATATATATATATATATATATATATATATCGTACCTAGTAGCCAGAACGCACTTCTCAGCCTACTATGCAAGGCCCGATTTGCCTAATAAGCCAAGTTTTTATGAATTAATTGTTTTTCGACAACCTAACCTACCTAACCTAACCTAACCTAACTTTTTCGGCTACCTAACCTAACCTAACCTATAAAGATAGGTTAGGTTAGGTTAGGTAGGGTTGGTTAGGTTTGGTCATATATCTACGTTAATTTTAACTCCAATAAGAAAATATATACCTCATACATAATGAAATGGGTAGCTTTATCATTTCATAAGAAAAAATAGAGAAAATATATTATATATTCAGGAAAACTTGGCTTATATTAGGCAATATCGGGCCTTGCATAGTATATATGAGAAGTGCGTTCTGGCTATTAGGTACGACATATATAAAATGCTTTGGATGCATCTTTTTATTTGCCTTATTCTTTTTATATATATAACATATATATAAACATATATGTTTTACCTAATAGCCAAAACGTACTACTTAGCCTAGTATGCAAGGCTCGACTTGTCAAATAGGCACAGTGATTTTCGTTATTTTATTAGTATATATACTGTTTCTAAAGTGAGAGCTGCTTCAGTGTCTGCTGAAGGGTCTCAGTAACTGTCTGTTTACAAAATAAAAAACACTTATTGCCATAACATTTACTTGTTTTGTATTATTATGGCTTTGCAGGCGGTGCTATATCAAGCGGCTGTTATTCATCATTTATGAATGCCTCGGTGGAGGACGCGGACTCTATCACTACCTTCTGCAACGGAACTCTGTGCAACCCCAGCGCTGCTGCTTCGTTCGCTGCTACACTCTCTCCCGTGATTTTGGGAGTGTTCCTTTACCATTTGGGGTAAACCAAGACTTAAGAAACTTCTTCTGCATCACTTGCTATGACGAAAGACTGCGGTGCATTTCCTGCTCCACGTAAACCGAACTTGAGCAACTTTCCCGTGTATCAAAGGGTTCCTTCAGCCTTCACAACTTGGCGTCCATATCCTCACAACGTGACGTGATTTGTATCTAAAAAATGATGTGATAACATAATATGCTGTTTGTTGCTCACAGTTTGGTATGAATTATATGATCTCCCTTGGATGCATCTTTTTATTTGCCTTATTCTTTACCGTGTACAAAATTTATTTATTTTCACTGTATAAAAGAAGAAACCAGTACAGAAGAAGGGGCCGAGGCCAATAGGCCGTTGTTTTCAATGCGTCTGGAGAAATCAGGTCCCTTATTGTTGGCAGCTCCTTCTGCCGCCTCGTTGGCTAAGACAGCTCTGAGAATATTGAGATGGGAATCAGTCATCTTTGCTTACAGCCCCGTTACAGGCTTGGGATCGGCATCCGCAAAAAAAACTGTACAGCGGCTGTGATGCAGACAGTACATACATGGCTAGTAGAACATACATGAAGATTCTGATAATATTAGAGTTTTCAATCGTCGTCAATCAGCTTTGAATCAAAGCTTCTCTGTAGCGAGATGAAACAGATTCGTGAGAAGTTTCTCAATATTATATATATATTATTAGTTACGTATCTGATTGGTTACAATCAGGCTTCAGATTTCTTCGAACTCCTCCGAAGCCTGGCAGGAACTGAGGATGCAGCGGGCATTCCCCCTCTGGACCGCCACACTGAGGCTCAGGAAGGGAAAACTTGCTGCTCTAAAGTCTTTTGTAGCCTCAATGAGCCTGGAACCAAGATCCTAAACAAACATTTTTGCGCTCTCTTCCCATGGACCAAGAGTCTCAGGTCATGTTGGAACGAAGTTTTACCGGTGATCTATTTCGCTGGACCTGGTTGACTTGTCTCTTTCTCAGTGTGTCGCCGCGGCTCCTGCTTGGCCGGCAGAGAGGTTGGAGTGCTACGATCTCTCCCACTCCACCAACCAGTGTCAGCACCCCGTCCAGAAGTGCAGGCTGTGCGCACTGGACCATCACTACTCCATATGTAAGGCAACAGCCCATCGCTGCTTGCTCTGTGATGGCAATCACCCCCGCAATTTCCTACCGCTGCCCCCGCAGACAGGAAAACATCAAGGTCCAGGTTGAAGCCAAGAGAAACAACCCTTCTACCTCCTCGACCACAGCCCCAGGTGCTCAACCCACCACCTCGGCTCCCGCCAACCGACCTGAAGACTTTCCGGTCTTACCAACATGTGGCTCCTCCCAGCAGGCGACACAGCCTTCTCAATGGGGACCCAAGGTCCCACAGGCTCCTTCACAGCCCCCTGCATCACGTGCAGGCATTATCCCTGGTCTTATTAGACTAGCGGAAAGGCTTGCTGGACCAGACAACCAGCACTTTGTCAGTGAACTAAACGCATTATATATAGCCAATGGCCTGGCCCCTATCATAGCCCCTGGCGTAAGTTTCACTGCCTCCACTACCCCTGCGGAGATTACCACCAGGACGACCATGCTGTCAACTTCAACACCGACTCCAGAACTGCCCATGACCTGGGCGGCACAGAGGTAATTCCCTCTCCAGCTCCCATCACTCTTACCATCACCATCTCAGAGGTAGTGAGATGGTGATGGTATGGTAGTGGACCCCATATCAATCCTACAGGTGGTAGTGGAGCCCATACCCATCCTACTGGTGGTAGTGTACCCCACACCCATCCTATTGGCAGTTGTGGGCCCCATACAGATTCTACAGATGGTTGTGGATCCATTACCCATCCAACAGATAGTAGTAGACCCCATACCCATCCAACAGGTGGTAGTGAACCCAATACACACCCCGTGGGCGGTAGTGAACTCTATACCCATCCTGTTGCCGGTAATGGGCCCCCATACCCATCCAGTGGGTGGTAGTGAGCCTCATATCCATCCTGTGGGTGGTAGTGAACCCCATACCCATCCTGTGGGTGGTAGTGAACCCCATACACCACCTGTTGGTTGCAATGTACCCCATACCTATCCTTCTGGGAAGTAGTGGACTCCATAAACATCGTGTAACTTGTTGTGGACCCTATGTCCAGCCGATATCCATCCTGTTTCCAATAGTGTACCCCATTGACATTAAAATCAATTATCGTTTTCTGTTAACATTCTTAAATCCATTCTCTTTAGATTTTTCAAAGCACACACTATTGTATATAATATAGTTTGGCGAAAGCATCATTATTTTATGTAATAATTTATAGAGTGCTTATTATAATTTATTGAGAACTACTAGGATTTCTCAAAACTAAATTACGAGCCTTTAGTAGGATGTAGCTGGTCCATGATATTCGAATAGTATGGAAAATAGTATGCAAATTTCATATCAGAAGTGGAACTGGAAAAATACAATCATTAAAATTGGAGCAAACCGACCATTCTGCTTTGTACGGCGATGGGACGGGTACTATGGGACGTACTATGGCACGTGAGGAAGGATTGGTGCCTGGTGAGTGCCCCGCCACACTCCAGATGCATGACCTCGATCCACACCACCACCCCCTAGAAGTCTATATGTACAGTGCTATTCGTGAGGCGTCAAACAATCACTCCCTTTTCACAAACTGCTGTTACCTACAGACTCTTTGTGTACACGCACGCGCACACAACGTCTGTCAAGCTTCTTGGCCTTTATCCTGCACTCAAGTCTACTGCACCAGCCAACCCTTCTTTCATTGTTTATTTGATTTTAAATTAGTTACAATATTTTTCCAATCATCATGCTTGCTTCTTACAGTGTTTGGGATTTTTAGTGTTCTTAATTCCTGTATTCTTGTGTTTACTCCATCCCATCGTCTTCACAGAAGGGACATCACCATCAGCTTCACATAGACATCACCAGCTTCCTCACCTGAGAGACATCACCAGCTTCCTCACATGCGAGACATCACCAGCTTCCTCACCTGAGAGACATCACCAGCATTCTCAAATGAGAGACATTTCCATTCAGCCAGCTTTCTGTTCTTCACTCCAACCCCTTCTCTTTCATTCTCATTCTTCTCCCTCCTCTCTTCCTCCCAAGAATAAGAATAATAATAAAATAATAACTCGGTGAAAGTCAAAAGTCAGTATATTAGTAATAAGATCCTTGATACAAAAACAGCCACAAAAAAGTCCCTCTACACAAAAGATCCTTAATTCAAAAACGACCAAAGCAAAAAGCCCCTCATACAGAAGACCCTTAAAATAAAACCATTACAAAAGTTCCTCCATACAAGAAAATCGATACAAAAATATCAACGAGAAATACCCCTCATGATAACCCTACAAAAGTCCCTTGACTGAAAACATTAACACAAAATCCTTTACTGATTTTCACAAACATGTAATTTTGTAACATTTATTCATTGTTCTTAACTGATATTTAATCTTTGGGACTTGAATGAGTTTACTGTAAGAACAATTTAAACAAAAAAAAATATATAAATGCATTGTTTTTGCAGTTTTGTTTGGATTACTGTACAAATAATTTTATTGTGCAAATTAATTATTAAATTCATTAGTTTGTTGTAGTTGGAAAGACAAAAGTTCTATCTTTTAATCACCACAATTTTATTATATATTTCCTAATACTTAAAACATTATGATCTTCTGTTTTAATTTTAAATAACAAATTGAAGATGTTGAATATGTGAAATTATACGATTATAAAGACTGTCGATTTGTGATGTGTGAAAATAATGTCAATGGGTGAAAATTGGATCAAGATCTGATGGACACACTATTGAAGGTCCGTTGACGGTAGACAGCTAACTGAAGCTGGAATGTAGGGAAGAGCCTGGACTAGGTTCTCACCTCCCACCTCTGAACCCAATAGGACCTGGACCAAACCTTTGATCTCTTTTATTCGATCTGTAATAAATAAATATTAGTGATAATATGAAATATTTCTTCTATTTTATGTATAATTAAAACATATATTGCCAAGTGTTGAATATGAAAATTATATAATTGATATCTAATGCCATTAACATCGACAAATTTGAATCGTCTCATGGTTATCTTGTCGTCATGGTTATCTTCTTGCCGTCATAGCTATCATCGTCTCATCATAGGTTATCATCATGTTTACCAAGAAAGAATTCACGCGCCTGAATCTCTTCCCGGTACGTCGGGTTCGGCTAGGCTACACACCTTTCAAAGTTTACAGAGCCCGATAATATAAAACTATCACAATTATTCCCACACACTACGTCAATATATTTAAATGTGAAACAAAAATCTAAGAATTTTAACACTATTATATTACAATTATTCAAGAAGCGTGCCTAAATATCACAATCAATAATGCTTTATTTTCTAAACTCCTAATGCAGTTCCCTAACTCTTCTCAATACTGTAGTTTATTATCGTTGTAACTTATTCAAAAGAGCTCTTGGACAAAATTCATGACCTAATACATAATAACGTTCATAATACAGCCCGCAGGACTGGCATGACATGAAGGGTACGGATTGGCGGGAAATACAGAAGCACAGACGTATTATCGAGTCAGTATTTTAGTCTTTCGGGTTTGGTGATAAGTAGAGGCCCTGAAGGTGCCGCTTCACCGTGCACGAAGCGTGCTGGGTGTTGCAGGTGCCGCTTCACCGTGCACGAAGCGTGTTGGGGGTTACAGGTGCCGCTTCACCGTGCACGAAGCGTGCTGGGTGTTGCAGGTGCCGCTTCACCGTGCACGAAGCGTGTTGGGGGTTACAGGTGCCGCTTCACCGTGCACGAAGCGTGCTGGGTGTTGCAGGTGCCGCTTCACCGTGCACGAAGCGTGCTGGGTGTTGCAGGTGCCGCTTCACCGTGCACGAAGCGTGCTGGGTGTTGCAGGTGCCGCTTCACCGTGCACGAAGCGTGCTGGGTGTTGCAGGTGCCGCTTCACCGTGCACGAAGCGTGCTGGGTGTTGCAGGTGCCGCTTCACCGTGCACGAAGCGTGCTGGGTGTTGCAGGTGCCGCTTCACCGTGCACGAAGCGTGCTGGGTGTTGCAGGTGCCGCTTCACCGTGCACGAAGCGTGCTGGGTGTTGCAGGTGCCGCTTCACCGTGCACGAAGCGTGCTGGGTGTTGCAGGTGCCGCTTCACCGTGCACGAAGCGTGCTGGGTGTTGCAGGTGCCGCTTCACCGTGCACGAAGCGTGCTGGGTGTTGCCGGTGCCGCTTCACCGTGCACGAAGCGTGCTGGGTGTTGCAGGTGCCGCTTCACCGTGCACGAAGCGTGCTGGGTGTTGCAGGTGCCGCTTCACCGTGCACGAGGCACTTCTCGACCGTTTCAACTGCAACTGTGCAACCTTTCCGGTTGCTCAGCTCCTGAGAGAGACGACCACAGCACACCTCGTACATGGTGTTATCACCCTTAGTGGGACGAGGCGGCGGCTGGCGCTGCTCTCCTGGGACCTCTCACCTCGACTCTTCCAGCTTCCTGGTGCAGTATAAAGAGCTGTAATGTTCGCTGTCCAAGTGTTTACTGTAGAGGTATTTAGAGTAGTAGTGGCTTCTGTAACGGTGGTTACTGTAATATTGGTTACAGTTGGAAGCTACAATAACTACAGAACCTCAAATCGCTCCCCTCAACAACCACTTTGAGAGGGACTCACTCAGTCGGCCGTTGAATACGCAGACGATACCGGCCGCGTTTCTTCAGGAAGAACTGTGAGGAGGGTGCGGCGGACAGCAGCACCAGCAGCAGCAGCGCTACGACTACCACCTGCGGCAGGAAGGAGACAATTTATACGAGGGTCAAGAGTCATTGTATTTAATGACCGACAGCTGCACAGGTGGGCTCCAGAAGCTAAAGCTACGTCTTACATGTATGAAAGACCTAGTTGCAGCTTCTGGGTAAAAAAAAAAAGTTAAAAACACACGCATAGGCAACTGCACAAGGGTCTGACAGTATGTTATTTAGAAGAAATATATGAAGGTGCGAAGACCTCCGAGTGAGGACCCCTCCCCCCCCCCCCCACACATACACACACACACACACGAGACGGACTACATCACCCAAAAGCGTGGGGAAACAGCAGATAAGTTTTCCCGGTCCAAAAGGAAAACATGATATGTGAAGGAGGAACCCAAGGTTCAATCAGGGATGCAGGTGGCCAAGGAAGTAAGTACGAGGGCACGGAGAAACTACAGGAATAACAGAACACAAGAGAGTAGAGGAAGATCCCAGAGAACCATGAATGAGTACCTCAGTGTGAGAAGAGAGGCAGAGATAGTATGAAAATGGCATAGCAAATGAAGCCAAGACCCAACGGCCACATTAGGAGGAAAACAGTGAACAAATTCGTAATGAGAGAGTAGGGATGGATAGGGTCATTGAGAATGACATGGAGGTGTGCAAAGAAATCAGTAAGAGATTCCAAGAGGTCTTTACAACATAACGAAGAGAAGTTCCTGAGCTATATGCGGTGCGTTTTACCAGGCACCATTGGAGGATTTTGAGAATACCACTGGTGAGGTAAGGAAGCATCTGCTGGAAGTGGACGAGGCAAAGGCTCTTATCCCAGACGGAGCGTCATCGTGGATTTTCAATATTAAATACAACCATTTATGGTGTTATAGGAGGAGTTTCAAAGGTATGGCACTAAACTAGTTCCAGAACTATGCGGTATGAATTATGAGGAATGGATACGTGAATTGAACCTCACGTCGCTGGAAGACAATATTTAGGGGAGACAAAAGATTTAGGGAAGACATGATTATCATCCAACTTGTCCTACAAAGAACGTTGTTTTTCGCTCGTATGCGTTAAATAAGGCCAAAAATTGTCGTATTTGAAAATGGAAGCGGCTCGCGAAAGTGACGTACTGTCCCGTTTTCAATTTTGGGTCCTCTGGTAAATTAGGAAAAAGACTCTTAATTGACGATTTTCCTTGAGGTGCTTCCTTACCTTGAGGTGCTTCCGGGGCTTAGCGTCCCCGAGGCCCGGTCGTCGACCAGGTTGTGACGCTGGGAATCATTAGGACGACGGGCTGGATTATCACATACAATTCTCAGAAGAATTGATATGATAGATAAAGACAGACTATTTAACACGGGTGGAACTCGAACAAGGAGACACAGATGGAAACCGAGTACCCAAATGAGCTACCGAGACATTGGAAATAATTGTTAAATTGTAAGAGTAGTTAACAAATGTAATGCACTAGAAAATGATATGGTGGAGGTAGACTCCATACCTCCACCGTACAGGGAATACGATAGAGCCCAATAGGCTCAGGATCCTGTACACCAGTTGATTAACAGCAGAGAGGCGGGATCAGAAAACCGAAGCTCAGCCAAAACATGCACAATTAGGTGAGTACAACTGAACTCACACACACACACACACACACACACACACACACACACACACACACACACACACACACACACACACACACACACACACACACACACATCGGGGCCTAACGGCTGAGTGGACAGCGCTCAGGAGTCGTAGTCCGGGTTCAATTCCCGGCGGAGGCGGAAACAAATAAGTAGTTTCTTTCACCCTGATGCAACTGTTCACCTAGCAGTAAATAGGTATGAGAGTTAAACAGCTGCTACGACATCCTGGGAATGTGCGTGCGTTAGAGATAAATATATGTAGTGGAAAATAAATAGAGGAACAATAGATTGGTTAGAAAGGCGGCGTCCAAGAGCTAATAGCTCGATTCTGCAGGCACAAATAGTAAATACTAGTAAATACACACACACAAAATTGGGATGACGCAAAATTAATGAGACGAGTTGTGACAGATGAGGATTGTAGGAGCCTCCAGGAGGACTTGAACAGTTTGCAGAGATGCTCCAGAGCTACTGGAGTTCAACACGAGCAAATGTAAAGTTATGGAAATAGGATTAGGTGACAGGAGACCAAAGGGACACAATGAAGGGGAACTACCTAACTGAGACGATTCGAGGAAGAGACCTGGGAGTGGACGTAACACCTTATCTGAATCCTGAGGCATATAAATAGGAAAACGACAGCAGCGTACTCTACACTAGCAAAAGTTACACCATCATTCAGAAACCTAAGTGAGGAGGCTTTTAGGGCGCTTTACACTGCCTACGTGAGACCAGTTTTAGAGTATGCCGCGCCATCATGGAGTCCCCACCTGAAGAAACACATTAAGGAAACTGGGAAAGGTTCAGAAGTTTGCGACAAGGCTTGTCCCAGAGTTACGAGGGATGCGGGTGTGAAGAACGCCTGAAAGAACTGAACCTGACGAGACTAGAAAAAAGAAGGGAGAGGGGGGGGGGATATGATAGGAACATATAAAATACTCAAGAAGAGTGGAAATAGTATTCAGTGTGAACATATCGTCTAACAAAACGAGGGGACATGGGTGGAAGCTGGAAACTCAGATGAGTCAGAGATGTTAAGAAGTTTTCTTTTAGCGTGAGAGTAGTGGAAAAATGAAATACACTTAAGGAGCAGGTTGTGGAAGCAAACGCTATTCGTAATTTTAAAACTAGATATGATAGGGAAATAGTACAGTAGTCATTGCTATAAACAACCGATGGCTAGAAAAACGGGATCCAAAAGTCAATACTCCATCCTGCAGGCACAAATAGGCGAGTACACACACGCACATCACGGGTCACAGCCGAAAGGTCCCGAGTTCAATTCTCGCAGCAGGACATTTTGGCGTTTTCTTCTCCCCAGATGCCTCAGATTACCTACAAGTAAATAGATACCTTGGAGCTAGACAACTGTTGTAGGTTGAATGTTAGAAAAGGTCAGTAGTAGGTGTTAGTGGAGCTCACTAAGCGCCACAAGCCTCCCGTCCCTTAGTCATAAAACCATAATAAGTCACCAGCTAATTACTCGACATTGCATGGCATCACATTTTTATCTTATACTTCAAAAGTACTGTAACATTGTTAGTTTCATAGCGCTTCATCTGGTACTTTAGTATATATGTGTGGGCCGTGCTGCAAGGTACCAGAGGTACGTCCAGGGAGCGGGAGAGGGGCGGGGCGCTGGGCCAGATGTGTCGCGAGGGCGAGGCGCTGAGTGATGAGGGCGAGGCGCTGAGTGATGAGGGAGAGGCGCTGAGTGATGAGGGAGAGGCGCTGAGGGAGAGGCGCTGAGGGAGAGGCGCTGAGGGGTGAGGGAGAGGCGCTGAGTGGTGAGGGAGAGGCGCTGAGTGGTGAGGGAGAGGCGCTGAGTGGTGAGGGAGAGGCGCTGAGTGGTGAGGGAGAGGCGCTGAGTGGTGAGGGAGAGGCGCTGAGTGGTGAGGGAGAGGCGCTGAGTGATGAGGGAGAGGCGCTGAGTGGTGAGAAAAGGGGTAGAGGCGAGGGAAGAAGATAGGCGAGAGGGTGGGATTTGAGGAGTTAGGGAAGTGGTCGAGACAGCAAAGAATGGGGGGAATGGGTTACGGTGACGTGTGCGAAGAATGGGCAGTATAGAGGGTCGGGGACGAGGGCGGTGATGGGGGAAGGGGATCAGACAGCATCATACATATTTTATATCTTACCTGTGTGACAGAGGAATGATACAAGGAAACATTTACCCCAAATGGGTGGAGGATATTTCCCGGTGGAGATACGAGCCCCAATCCTTGTGTTGCATCTCATGGTGTGTGGGTGTGTACGTATACGGTTAGGTAAACCCATGTATACGATTATACTTGTGTAGTATAATCAGGTAAACTCAAGTATATGATGATACTTGTGTAGCATTAGGTTCAGAGGGGTTAACTCAGCTTGGTGAAGGTCTACTTTGTAGGTCCTATCTTTACTGTGATGGATAAAATAAAGTTTATGAAAAATGTTCATTGTAACCCATTGACGCCTGAACCTGTGTATTATCGTAGTTTAGGTTAGCTCATTTATTATGCACCCCATACCCATCTTGCGGGGGGTGGTGGAAAAGGTTACAGAAGCATATACTGGGCTCGGGAACTGAACCCCAAAGTTGAATTAGGGGGTCACTTCCTGAACCCTGTGTGTGTCCCATGTATCATAGATACCTGAACCTATGTAGAATCATAAACGCCTGAACCTGGGAGGTACTAGACCAATCTAACAAACATTATGATGGCGATGAGTCACAATAACGTGACTGAAGTATGTTGACCAGACCACACACTAGAAATTGAAGGGACGACGACGTTTCGGACCGTCCTGGACCATTCTCAAGTCGATTGTGTGAATCGACTTGAGAATGGTCCAGGACGGTCCGAAACGTCGTCGTCCCTTCAATTTCTAGTGTGGTCTGGTCAAACATTATGATCATCTAGCAGGATGAACTAGATGTTATGGTAAAGGGGAAGGAGAGAGAGAACACTGGACTAAATGTAGTCACCGAGACGCCCTCTCGGTCCCAGTATGGTAGGGTAATTATGAGGACAAAGCGCTAAGCCAGTATGGCTCTAGAACATTAGGAAGGACTGAGAAGGACTGGGATATGAGGACGGAGTGGAAGAACAGTGTCCAACAACTTGAACCACGAGGTATCGAACGCCGGCCCTGCACGAATCGAGACCGTCGCTGTACCTACCAGTTCAAGTTGATGGACCTAAGAGTCATCTGCATACTAATTTATTGTGAATATTTGAGATTACCTTGAAATGCTGAATAGAAAACCACAACCTAACCTAACCTTCTTAGTATGTTAAGATATTACAATTAGTACTGAACCTATACCTATATTGATATTACAGTTTTATATAAATAATAAAACAAAACTAAAATATTTAAATAAATTGTAAAGTA